CGCTCTTGAGTGTGTGCGCCTCATGTCATCCTCAGGCAAGTCTGGGGCTTAGAATGCAGAGTTAACTCACAGCTCTGGAGTACAAGGCAGCCTGGTAGTCCCAGCATTTCAGCCACGTTCCAGTTCCAGTTTTTCTCAGAGCTTTCTCAGCATTTTCTTTCTAATGTGTCACCTTTCCCTGCTTTCCCTTTATTAACCAGTTTGCTGTGTGTTTTCAGATGCTGAGTACAATGTTTTCTATGTATGTTGTATACAACACCCACCACAGTCTGCTAAAGAAAGAAGGCCTGCCTCTTATGAATCAGATTGTGAGCTGGGCCACATTAGGTAAGTGACCCCTCGAACCAAATTGGAAAAATTTATCTTTAGTCTCTTATCTTAAAAATGATACCTTTATGTCTCTATTGAACTGAAAGAAGCAGTTTTGATGAAGGAAAATGTAGCCAGCTATTATTTCTATTTCTTTATGGAACTGACAAAGAAAAGTAGAACTCTCATGAGCATACATAGATTAATAAGAGTTACTTGACAGAATATTTATGTCTTGATGACTGGACTGTGGACTTACGTACATCTAATAACATCTCCCGAGTGATTCTAAAAGAAGTTGTTTTTGAATATTCCATCCTGTATATGCACAACATATATTTAATTTTCACGTCAGTCTTTACATCTCCAGGTCTTACACAGATTAGCAAATGACGAAAAGTGACTAGCTATTTCCCAGCATGGTGTATATTTTATAAAACTGTTTGGTATTTCTGGTCATGTCCTCTCTGTGGCACCCTTAATTAAGAATGTTAGATGTGGGGCTGATGAAATGGCTATGTGATTAGGTGTGCTTACTGCTTTTGCAGAGAACTCAGATTGAACCCAGCACCCACATGGTGGTTTACAAGTGCTTCAAAAGTGAATACACAGAAGGAAGAGATGGAATTAAGTCTTTTAAAAAAATTTTTTCATTTTACATACCAACCACAGTTCCCCCTCCCCCTTTCCTCCTGCTCCCCCTATTTTCTCCCCCCACCACCCATCCACTCCTCAGAGAGGATAAGGCCTTCCATGGGAGTCAGCTGAGCCTGATGTATTGAGTTGAGGCAGGACCAAGCCTGTCCGTCCTGCATCAATGCTGAGCAAGGTATCCCACCATAGAGAATGGGCTCCAAAAACCCAGATAATGCACCAGGGATAAATCCTGGTCCCACTGCCAGGGGGCTCACAAACAGGCCAAGCCACACAACTGTCATCCACATTCAGAGGGGTTAGTTTGGTCCCATGTAGGCTCCCCCAGCTCTCAGTCCACTCCCGTTAGCTAGGGTCTGCTGTCTTTGTGGTTTTCCCTTTCATATTTTTAAGCCCCCGACCTTTGATCACATATTCCCTCCTCCCTTTCTTCTACTGGACTCCAGGAGCTCGGCCCAGTGCTTGGCTGTAGATCTGCATCAGCTTCCATCAGTTACTGGATGAAGGCTCTATGATGACAATTAGGGTGGTCACTAATCTGATTACAGGGAAAGAGCAGTTCAGGCTCCCTCTCCACTATTGCTAGGAGTCTTAACTGGGGTCATCCTTGTGGATTCCTTGGAGTTCCCTTAGTACCAGGTTTCTCTTTAACCTCATAATGGCTCCCTCTACCAAGATGTCTCTTGCATTGCTCTTCCTCTCTGTCCCTCCCCTCACTTGACCATCTTGTTCCCTCATGTTTTCCTCCCCCATCGCCTTCCTTCTCTTCTCCTAGTTTACCCAAGAGAACTTCTCTAATTCTCAATTCCTAAGGCGATCTATGTGTGTCCCGCTTAGGTTCCTCCTTGTTACCTAATTTTGCTGAGGCTGTAGACTATGATCTAGTTGTCCTTTGCTTTATATCTAGTAATCAATTATGAGTGAGTGCACACCGTATCTGTCTTTCTGGGTCTGGGTTACATCATTCCGGATGATTTTTTTTCTAGTTCCATCCATTTGCTTGAAAATTTTATGATGTCATTGTTTTTTCCGTTAATACTCTGTTGTGTAAATATACCACATTTTCGTTATTTGTTCTTCAATTGAGGAGCATCTAGGTTGTTTCCAAGTTCTGGATATTACAAATAATGCTGCTATGAACATAGATGAGCAGTGTCCTTGTGGTATGGTTGAGCATCTTAGGGTATATTCCCAAGAGTGGTATTGCTGGGTCTTGAAGTAGATTGATTACCAGTTTTCTTAGAAGCTATCATACTGATTTCCAAAGTGACTGTGCAAGTTTGCACTCACACCATCAGTGGAGGAGTGTTCCCCTTACTCCATATCCTCTCCAACATAAGTTGTCCTCAGTGTTTTTTATCTCAACCATTCTGACAGGTGTAAGATGGTATCTCAAGAGTTGTTTTGATTTGCATTTCCCTGATGATTAACGATGCTGAGTGATTCCTTAAATGTCTTTCAGCCTTACAGAAGCTTCTTAATTTCAGGAGGTTCCATTTGTTAATTGTTGATCTCAGTGTCTGTGCTACTGGTGTTATTTTTATTTAGGAAATGGTCTCCTCTGCCAATGCATTCAAGGCTACTTCCCACTTTCTCTTCCATATCAGGTTCAGAATAACTGGATTTATGTTGAGGTCTTTGATACAGTCGGACTTGAGTTTTCTGCATGGCTATAGATATGGACCTATTTACATTCTTCTACATGTCAACATCCAGTTATGCCAGCACTATTTGTTGAAGATGCTTTCTTTTTCCATTGTACAGTTTTCACTTCTTTGTCAAAAATCAGGTGTTCATAGGTGTGTGGATTAATGTCCGGGTCTTCAATTCCATTCCATTGGTCCCCTGTCGGTTTTTATGCCAATACCAAACTGTTTTCATCACTGTAGCTCTATAATAGAGCTTGAAGTTTGGGGTAGTGTTGCGTTCGGAAGTTTCTTTTTTGTTTAAGATTGGTTTGGCTATCCTGGTTTTTGTTTTCTTGGTTTCCTTAGTGTCTATTGTTATATCCCTTTTTCATTTCTGATTTTGTTAATTTGGATATTCTCTCTCTGCCTTTTGGTTAGTTTTTGGTTAAGGGTTTGTCTATCTTGTTGATTTTCTTGAAGAACGATCTCTTTGTTTCTTTGATTCTCCCTATTGTTCTCCTTGTTTCTATTTTATTGATTTCGGCCCTCAATTTGGTTATTTCCTGTAATCTACCCCTCCTGGGTGAGCTTGCTTCTTTTTTTTCCCTAGAGCTTTCAAGTATGCTGTTAAGTTGCTAGTGTGAGATTTGTCCAAATTCTTAATGTAGGCACTTAGTGCTGTGAACTTTCTGCTTAGCACTGCTTTCATACTGTCCCGTAAGTTGGGATATGTTGTGTATTTTCATTGAATTCTGGGAAGTCATTAATTTCTCTTTATTTCTTCCTTGACTCAGTGGTGATTTAGTTGAGAGGATAGTTACACCAGCTTGTTTCTTAGGTATATTTGATTGAAAAATATTTTTCCAGTATTTTACTCTGAGGTAATGTCTGTCTTTGAAGTTGAGGTATGTTTCTTGTAGGCAACAGAAGAATGGATTCTGTTTTTGTATCCATGTGGTTATAGGCAAATTGAGTCCTTTTATATTAAGGGATATTAATGACCAGTGATTGTTAATTCATGTTATTTTTTGGTTTTGGTGGTGGTGGTGGTAGTGTGTGTGTTTTCCTTCTTTGGGATTTGCTGATGTGATATTATCTATTTGCTGTTTTGTTGTGGGTGCTACTAACTTCTTTGGGTTGTTGTTTTCCTTCTAGCACTTTTTGTAGGGCTGGATTTGTGGATAGGTATTATGTTGCAAGGAGGGGCTGCTTGTTCGTCCCAGCTGCCCGTCTTGCTTAGCCCCAAAATAACCACACAGAAACTGTGTTCATTAAATCACGGCTTGGCCCATTATCTCTAGCCTCTTATTTGTTAACTCTCACATCTTGATTTAACCCATTTCTATTAATCTGTATATCACCATGTGGCAGTGGCTTACCGGGAAAGATTCAGCATGTCTGTCTCTGGCTGTTCCATGGTGTCTCTCCTTCTCTGCCTTTCTTCCTCCCAGCATTCAGTTCTGTCTTCCCCACCTACCTACGTCTGCCCTATCAACTAGGCCAAGACAGTTTCTTTATTCATTAACCAATGAAAGCAACACACAAACACCAGTATTGTTTAAATTTGGTTTTGTTATGAAATATCTTGTTTCTCTGTCTTCCACAACTCTGACATATGGTGAAGTCATTCCTTCCTGATCCTGATATACCACGTGGCACATTACAACTCTAGATGCCTACTTCTCTGACATTAAACATCATCAATTTCTAGAGAATTTGTTGTCTTTGAACTACGACATAAATGTCAAAGAAACAAGTTGCTGAACATTAAGTAATATATTTTATTTCATGAGAAAATAATTATTTATTTGGGGGTTAATATTGTAGTGATTTGATTTGGATAAAGTTGAGAAAATCTGAGTTATTTAGCCAATGATATAATTAAAGCCAGGTGTAATTTTAGTTAAGAGTGTAATGTTTTTGTTTTCTTACAGAACCCTGCATTGTGTTAAAGGTCACAAAGCCTAGGCTGCACGAGTGGTGGTGGGTCTCTTGGGTCTGAAGAGCTGACAGGACTCTTCTTTCTTTGCAGCCTCCTCGTTGGTTGTGCCGTTCCTGAGTTCCACAGCTCTCTTTCAGCGACTCTCCAGCATACTTCTTTCCTTGATGCCAACCTACTTGCTTCTGAGCACAGGGTATAAACTTTTTTCTATTTAAAAAAAAATCTTTTTTTTTTTTGGAGAATTTTATGAGCACTGTTTATTTCATTATTTCTATGCCTTCCTTCCCCCCTCCAACCCCTCCTATCCTCCCTCTCCTTCTCAAGTTCATGACATCTTCTATAATTATTATTGTTGCACATATATGTATAAACTTTTCTTAAAATATGATTTCACAGTTGCAAATTTGAAATGCTAAATTGACTTTTCTCCTTTAGTAGCTAAGTTTTGGAAATAAGAATGTTTTCTAAATATTGAAGAATGAATTATAAATATTTTATGTTTTTTATGTAAGTAGGTAAAAGAGACTGCTAGTTAGTTTCCCAGCTGCTTAACCTTGAAATAATCACACAGAAGTTGTATTAATTAAATCACTGCTTGGCCCATTAGCTCTAGTTTCTTATTGGCTAATGCTTACATCTGAATTTAACCCATCTCCATTAATCTGTGCATCGCCATGAGGTCATGGCCTACCAACAAAGTTTTAGCACATCTGTCTCAGGCAGTGGCACCATGGCTTCTTCTTGACTCCACCTCCTTCTCCTAGCATTCAGTTTAGTTTTCCCCACCTACCTAAGTTTTGCCCTGCTATAGGTCCAAAGCAGTTTCTTTATTCATTAATGATAATCACAGCATAAAGAGGGGAAATCACACACCAATAACTTGATCTAAAATTTTACTTTATTTTTCCTCATAATTTTCATAGTATTGTCTGTTATTTCTTTTTACTTGTAGTAATTGCTGAAATTTTATTTAATTATAGTATTAGGAAATCCTGATGGATAAAGGCAGAATTTTAAATCTAAAGAGTTTTTTAAGAATGATCTTTATTTTTGTTGCATTTTTAAAATATATTTTCCCACAGTGATATGATCTCTATTCTGATAAGTGACTGGAGTATACTTCTAGAAGGGAAACAGAAATTTGTCTGTAATAGAAAACAGCATCATTGCTTCTTGTTGTACTTAAGAAAAAAGCTATTTTGTTTTAAAACCTATTCAAAGGCAGGGATCTAGCAGGAAATACAGCAAATATTTTTTAACAAATAAGAAACTGAAGAAAATTTGTTCACGGTTTAACTCCTTTAATTTAAGGCTCACATCCCTCACAGCTTTTATCACCTAAACTAGAGAGGTTTAGACATCAGTCTGACCTTCGCTTTGTCATAGCATGAAATCTCAGCTCTGGCCCATGAAACTTCCCCTTGGCAGAGCAATGTCACGGTGCTCCTGCTTTGAGGGCATAGATAACTGCTTCCACACTTATGACCTCATCCGTCTTTGTTCATTATTGGTGTTGGTATTAGTAGTGTTGGTGTTCTGTTTGTAAATGATTTGGGGATTCTAGTCTCAGTGCCCAATTTGGCTTTTCCAGAGTATGTGTGACTGGAGACACTGTTAAAATTATCTTAATTAACTGCCAGTGCATGCAAGGGCTCATAAGGGAGTTAGGACAACTTGTAGAGCTTGGGCAATCCTCTGATGGTTCTGAGCATGAGCAGACCAGGCTGCAGGGCTTAGGTGCAGCAGCTGAAGATCCTCCAGTGCTCTTCCTGCCTGGGTACTTCCCATTCTGGCTCATTCATCCCCACCCCACCGCAGTCCCCTGCTGGATGTGGACAAGTGAGAATTCCAGGGCTAAGGGGCAAAACCACCATAACTAAAACAGTGCAAAGCAGAGTCTTTTTTTTTTTTAATATACCTCATAGATTAGTCTAAAGCAGTGGTTCTCAAGTGGTGGCAACCCCTCTGGGGTTGAACTACCCTTTCACAGGGGTCGCTTCTTAGATATCTTGCTATCACATATTTATATGATGATTCATAACAGCAAAATTACAGTTAGAAAGTAACAAAAAAATAAGTTTATACTTGGGGGATACCACCACATGAGGAACTGTATTAAAGAGTCGCGGTATTAGGAAGGCTGAGAATCACTGCGCTAAAGCAGGAAAAGTAGCTGAGAACGTGCATCCAGAATAGTGCTCCAGTATGGCTTCTGGGGAACAGCTGGAGCCCACCACAGCAGGCCACAGGAAGCAAGGAATACATGCACTCTGCTGAATGAGGCTTTCTTATGGCCTTGTTCTTGACAAAGATGCTATTGCTTAATGCATTTTAAAGTATGCTTCAAGGTTGCGGTATAACTTGGGTTGAAAGCTTGACCGGCATGTGTTAGGTCCCAAACTTAGTATTTAGCACCACCAAAAGAAAAAAACAGAGTCTTCAAATACTTTAATTTGTTCATTACTATTTGAATATATTATTTTGTTTTTATTCTTACTTACATGTATTCCAATTAAAATATTACTTTGGTATAAGGAATTTTGAAAGTATTTCCAAAGAAGTTACTTCACTTTTGTTTAAAATTGAAAATCTCTAGGGCTGGTTTGATGGCTCAGCACGTAAGATTGCTTGATGCTCTGGCAGAAAAGCGTAGTTCCCAGAAGCATCACAACTGTCTGTATCTCCAGATCTACATGATGTAGTGTCTTCTTCTGGCCTCTCTAGGAACTTGCATGCATGAGCACAGACTGGCAGGAAAACATGCATGCATATAAAAAGAAATCTCCTTTAAACATTACATTTTTTCCTTTTGTTTTTGGTACAGGATCTCACTATATAGACCAGCCTTACCTAGAACTCACAGAGCTCTGCCTGAGTCTGCATTGAGTGCTTGGATTAAAGGCGTGCACAATTAAAACAAAATTGAAACTTTATTACCAAATAGATTTAAACAAAGAATCTGGTGCGTTGATTTGCCATGAACTCTGAAACATTACTTTAAAATTTAGTGAAGGCAGTTTTATAGTTTCCATGTTGACTTTGAAGGGAAGAATTCTTGCCTTCCAGACACACACTCCAACTGAACTCAGTATGTAGTCCCAGCTAGCTTCAAACTCTTATTTCAGGCTCCTGAGTACTGACATTCCAGGCATGTCATTTGAATTTGATTTTGCTAAATCCTTCCTTACATCCTATGAGGATAAAGAGTTTTTACTTTAGAACAAATGATAAACAGGACAGAAGAGTTGAGTAAATACCACTGATAGTTTAAATTTTGGCTAATATATGGTATCTTGACCCAAATTAGACTCAGCCCGGTATTCACCATGGTGCTATCAACAGGTTGAGGTCATCTAGGGTCCAAGGCCTGTTCACTCTTCAAGAATTTTAGCCATCCTAATTAAGTATTACAGAGACATTCTGAAAGCTCTTGCCGATGGACCTTAGCATCCCATGTGATCTAGACTTGAGAAGTGGGGCGGCAGTAAATTCCCTCTCACCAAAGGTCCCAACGTATCCTGTTTTTTTCCATTCTCCCTGACTGACATATTTGTGGGACACAGCTATGAACATATAACATGGACACCATGAAAACTTTTCTTAGTTGCTTACAAAGAAATCTTATGCTGAGCTTGCTTTGAGATATGCAGTTTTTAAATAAATCTTGAAGTGTGTGAGAATCTAGTTGTTCTTTTTCAATAGTTATAAACTAATTTGAGACACTTTTCATTTCCCCACATTACTGCTAAAATTTTAGAATAATTCTATTATATTAGCAGCCTTTACATTAAAATATGGAAAAGTTTTTGTTTTATATAATGAAGGATAAAATTCCCTTCTCTGGGGATGATGTTGTTCTATTAAGAGGACACACGTAGCTTGACTGTGGCGCACACCTTACTCCCAGCACTCGGGAGGCACAGGCAGGTGGATCTCTATGAGTTCAAGACCAGCCTGGTCTACAGAGTGAGGTCCAGGACAGCAAGGCTACGCAGAGAAACCATGTCTTGAAAACAAAACAAATCACACTTAGGGGTTTACTTGAGAAAGTTAGTATTTTAGAATAAAGAAATATGTGCTAATTTTTTAACAGTCACTTAGTAATGATTTGACCTTTTATGGGCTCAAAGGAATGTGTAATCAGTTTTAAAGAAATGGTGGAACATGTCTCAGGAGGCGGAGGCAGTGGTTTTGAATTTGAGACCAGTCAGTGCCATATAGCAGGAACCTGTCCTTTAAAAGCCTTTCCCTGTTGCTGTGATAAATGCTCTGACAAAAGGGACTCGGGGAAGGGGTTTGTTCTGGACTAGAGTTCCAGAGTGTGGTGCGGCCGCTGCTGAGAGGCATCTGTCACCACCAGCAGAGAGCCGTGACCGCGTGGTAGTGCTCATGTGACTTCTACGTTTTGTGCAGTTCAGGGTCTCCTTCCCACAATTGACATGGTCAGGATATCCCTCATATACATGCCCGTCTCCCAGCTGATTCTAGATTCTGTTGGGTTGACAATAAAGACAAAGATCCCACAAGGAGCATGGAAGCGTCTCTCTGTAATGCACAGGGGTCTGGCTTCAATTTTTGGCAGTGAAAAAAATTCAATTAATAATAAAAAAGAGTAAAATATAAATCTTAGAAATAGATCTGGATTAGAAACAAAGGAGTATAAGGATGAAAGAAATAATAGTTTAAGTTTGTAGGTAAAAGAATTTCTTAATATAGAGTGATTTATTCTGTAACTTACCCTTGAGACAAGTTTTATAATAATATATAATAAATAAAAGTGTTTTTAATCATCAATTTAATGGTTTTTGAGAGATCCTCAAACAGATTATCAAAATTACATTAGTTTATTTTAAGAAAATCAAGATCAGGAAAGTTCATGCCTAAAATCGGAATGTCACTGCCGAGTGTGAACTCACTAATTAATGCATTAGAGAGCCATCACTCCCAGAGTCAAGGTTTGGCTCTGGAAAGGGTCTTGGAACTGCATGTTCTAGCCACTCAGGTTAGTACAGTTTCCTGGTTTCTTAGCAGCTTTGCAAATCATGTAGTTCATCACTGTTTTGGACAAAATAGAAGTTTCTCTGTATAATTCAGTGAATATTCAGACATAAGAGATTCTTAGAATAAATGCAGCTTTATTGTATTATAGAGTAATAGTAATCTTAAATTCTAACAATACATCCTTGATTTAATGAATAAAAAGACTCATTAGTAATCAGCCCTGAATTAAATTTATGCAAATGAAAGCTATTACAATCCTGAAAATAATTTGTCTGTTAAGTTGTTAAATATTTCCCTTTGAAATTTTGTTTACATTATCCCTTTGCATAGCAAAATATAATACAAATCTAAATGCATTTTCAGCCCATTCCAATCTGCCCAGAGGCCAAACCAGCAGATTGCAATTTAGGGCTTAGTATTTCATTACATTCTCTTAGTCCACGATGACATTTTATTGGTCTTTCCATATTAATTTAGACTTGCTGGATATATTTGAAAAATTGTCTGAAGAGGTAAAGTCTCTTAGGAGTTCTGTTTCTCTCTGATCTTGTCTGCATTTCAGAAAGGGCCAGAGCTCTGAAGTACTGAGCGATTCGTGGTTGTGTATTATTAGAAAGAATGACTTTCATATACTTACAAACTGAATCTGTTTGTAAAAGTCCTGGTGCCATGGGGCTGTATAGATGGCTGGGCACTTAAGAGCTCTGGTTGCTTCTTCTGAGGACCCGGTGCCAGTTCCCAGAATATATATGGTACTAACAACTCTCTGTAAGTGCACTTCCAGGGGATTCAGTGCCCTCCTCTGGCCTGCTTGTATACTAAACATGCATGCAGTGCATACATGTTCATGCAAGCAAAATACTCAAACATAGAAAATAAAAATAGACAAATACTTAAATATTTTCAAAGTCATCATCTGCCTTTTCCTAGGGAATGCACCTTCTTGATCTGATTAGCCAAGTTTCTGTCTTTCACATGTCAGCACCCTGAGCACCGAGCAGACACACCCAAAGGACTGTTGCAGTAATGCAGGCCTGCACTGCAGCTGCTCATGGCTATAGAATAAGAATTGTGTTTTGCAGTGTTAACAGTAAAAACTGGAAAGTTGAGTTTATGGGTTAGGAAATGAATAGACTTGAACAATGGAACTGGGTTGATGGCTCTGAAACTGGCTGTTTCTGTTTCTGAGTGTCTGTGAGTTTAGATAGTTTTTGTATGGTTTTCACTGTGATGTATGAGGTCCATTAAGCATGAACTTTTTTTAACAGAAAGTTCTATTTGTTTTTAGGACAGTGCTATTTTATATCACCAACGAACTACAAGAGATGTTATTTTATCATATCCTTAGTAATGCTATTTTTCCTTCAAATAAGAATGCTAAACGCAATTTTAATGGACTATAAATAACTGCTTTGTACTTTTTCTGTCCATTTTGCTATTGATATTCTCTCATGTATATAGTCTATACTCATATCCTAGGACATCCTATATCCTACACACAAGGTGATTGTATGTATTTCCTCAAATCTAGATGTTTCTGCCCAGTCTTCAGTATTTTACCATTGTGGTAGAGTTGAAAGCATTTTGTTTCTTTTGCACTTTCATGTCTGGGAAATAGTGTCATAGGACCTAGAGTTCAGTGGTAAAAAGTGAAGCAAAGTTACTTAACGTCTTTTTGTTGTGTAGCTTTTAATAAAGTTGGTTATTCTTTTAGAACCACTTCATGTGAGCTAGATTTGCATAGTACCCAGACTCTGTTCCTAAAGTAGGAGGAGTCTAAATGTGTTTATGTGACCAAAGCAGCATGGTAAGTGCTGTAATGAAGCATTTGGGGATCATGGAGGTGGAGCACTTACCCCAAGCTAGAGCAGAAGCAATTTTGAAAAGGCTTGGCAGTGTGGAAAAAACCTAATATTCATTCTTTCTCTCTCTCTTTCTCATTCCCTCCCTCCCTCCTTCCCTCCCTCCCTTCCTTCCTCTCTTCCTTCCTTCCTTCTTCCCTTTTTTGTTCTATGTCTACTGTCTTCCATCTTACAGAGGTACAGGTACATTTGTAATCACTGTCCTGTGGATATGCAAGACCTTCACACCTTTATTGCCCCCTTCTGTAAACTTCTTTATAGTAAGACTCATAGTGCACATACTTGATTTTTCTTAGAATTAATGTTCTTTTATTATGGTTTAGAATGTTTTTTTATATTTTTGATTCATAGCATTAGATGGTCTTCCACTATAGAGTGTTTCTATACACATAGTATGAGAATCTATTTCAGTGTACTCTTCTCAACACTGTGTTTTTATGTTGACAAACATGGCAAGTACATATGGCATCTCATTTTTGTTTTGATTTCCATATCAGTTATTGACAGAGCCAGACTTCTTTTCATGCTTTTGTGAACCCTTTTATTTTCTTGTTAGGGGTTTGTATTTTTGTATCAAACTTACCTTTTAGGAAGTTGGGGATATTTGTCTTGCCCTGATACATATATTAGTGTTTGTTCTTCCCAAGTTATCTTTTTACCTTTGTCTTAGCATTTTCTTTCTTTTATGAATAACTGTTACCTTCTTTTAAAATGTTTTTAAATATTTCCAGTATTTTAAACATGTATCTCAAAATTTAATTAAGTTCAAAACAAGTTACTGTTAGAGTTGAAATTTAAATGTATCTTTCTCTACTGTTGTCTGGAGAACTTAAAAGATTTTGAGTATTACTTCAATTATTTTTATGGTTTATTTAATTTTTATTTCGTGTATATGACTGTTTTGCTTTTAAATATATGCACTGTGTGTGTACCTGATACCTATAGAGACCAGCAGAGAGTAACAGATCCTTGGGATCTGGCATTACAGACTATGGTAAGCCACGATGTGGAACCAAAGCTGGATCTTCTTTAGGAGCAACAATTGCTCTTAACTGCTAAGCCGTCTCTCCAGCCCCCATCACAGTTATTTTAGGAAGGAGTCTGGCTTTGATTTTCAGCCTTCTCTGTCAGTGTTCTCATCTTTGTGCCCTCACTTCCTGTCTCTTAGGTATGAAGCTCTCTTTCCATTAGTGTTGTCCTGCTTGATGTTTGTCTGGATACACATGGAACAAGAGACCCTACAACAGCCTGGCGTTTCCTGTAAACAGAAGGTAGCCACCCAAACAATTGTTGCTCTGTTTTAAAACATTCTCTACGCTGAGAATGTTACACTGTTATTTCATCAAAAATTCTTTCTGCCTAGAAATCTAGCAGTTTAAAAACTTAGCAAATTTTACTTGTATTGACAATTAAGGTCAATACAATTGTACAGTTTTGTATGGCATGTATATGTTGCGTTTTTTCTGTAAAATTATTAGGAATCAGATTAACAAAATATCAATATAGGGCAAGCAACATATCTCGTGGATAAAAGTGCTTGATACTTGGCTAGCACACTTAGTGGTCTGAGGTAAGTGGGAGAAGTAGAGAGCCCGTGTCTGCACAGGCATGCTGTGGCATGTGCACTGTGTACTTGTCTCCCGGCACATGCTCACACATCTGGTTCACTCCAGATTTCCCTTTGATGGTTCACTTGATCATACGGTGATCTTTAAGTACCCATTGTTGTTTCTCTAGCCATCATAATCCAAGGTGCTTATTCTGTCGTCTCAGTGATGTTGGCCTCTGACTGTATCTTCCACAGTTTGAACACTATGCTGTGCCTAGAACTGGACAAAAGTCAACCACTTTTAAAGGGCCATCCTCCTGAGGAATCAGAAGGTTATGTGATGTCTCTCACCTGTGCTAGAGCTGAGGTGACTCTGAGACTGCTCAGTTACTGAGGTCAGATAAAGAAAGGCTGAGCGCTTCTGTGCACCTCCGCCCTTACCGAGCTCCGCTGCCTCCCAAGAGGTGTTTTCATTCAGAATAACTTCTCAGTACAGAAGCAGTTGTGCTGCTGTGTATGTGTGAAAATCAGTGTGGATGGATTAGTGTAAAGAGTGAAGAATTAGGGCTGGAGCAATAGCTCAGCGGTTAAGAGCACTGCCTGCCCTTCCAAAGGTCCTGAGTTCAATTCCCAGCAACGGCATGGTGGCTCACAACCATCTGTAATGAGATCTGGTGCCCTCTTCTGGCATGCAGGCATACATGCAGACAGAATACTGTGAATGCTGTATACATAATAAATAAATAAATCTTTTTTTTAAAAAAAAGAGTAAAGAATTACCCTAGGCAGTATTTCAGGAGAGGGACTTACTGCATCGTTTTCAAACCCTACTTTTAATGGAAAGCAAGTCTGTTTGTGTTTAGAAAAGAAGGTGGCAGCATGCCAGTACTTGCTGTTGGTTTATATAGAGTATGGCAACGGGGAGACTTCTCCTTTCAACTCTCTTTTGGCTTCTTTTCCGGGGTTGGGGACCTAAGCAACAGTGTTTCCACATTATTTAATGTTGTCACTTTCCCTTTTATCAAAGACAGAAGTATTTTGCTTTTATAAGGAAAAATAATAATTTATCTGCAAATAGAATTAGCAGGACAAGAAAGAGAATAAATGTTTACTTTGTGAAATCTTTTTAATATTATTTAACTGAGGTCTCTGAATAGCAGTTTGAAGGTGGAACATTTATATAGGGTAGAAAGAAGACCAACTCTCACTTCAATGACATGCTGACACTACAAGTCCACTTAGCATGTTCTTAACATGTTTTCCTTCCAGTGAATTCTATTAAGATGTCATTAAGCTATTTCACTCTTGTGGGGTTTTTTTGTATTTGTTTTTTAGTAGGCACGGTATAAATTCTTAACCATTGTTAATTTGTCTGTAAGTTTGTACACTAAATACTATTGTTTGTTAATGTATTTCTTCCTGCCTCCCAGCTCGGCAGCATTCAGTTCACCTGTAACACTGATATAGCTCAACTTCGACTGCTCAATCTGGATGACATCCGCAGGGCCTTTTTCCTTGTATCCTTTGTTGGGACCTGTAACATCTGCCAACCCCATTTTAATAGAGGAAGATGCTGTAGAAGGTGTTTTTTTTTCCTTACTTAATAGTGGTATTTTTATTAGAGGCCAGTTAACTCTTTTCTCAACTCAAGTTTTCTCATATACATAGCTCTCATCCTCACTTGGAGAGGACAGATGGTAGGCTTTTAGGTCAGGAGTAGATAGAGTGCTTGCACCAAGCAAGTGCGTGCACCAAGCCCTGGGTTCAACCCCTAGTAGGGGAAACAAACAAATACTTTTTTAGCTATAGAAAAACGATGTTGCAAATGTGTTTGTTCCTACCATTCAGTCTTTTAGCAGTTAAGATTTTATCATATATGCATATATTCCTTAAGAATAAAATGTTAAAACTAAAATGGAATTCTTTCAACTCTCAACTCCTGTTTAGTTTCTCCTGCCCTAGAGGAGTTTGTATCCTGTGTGCTTTACCTGAGGCTTGTTAGGTTAACTTCCATCTCACTGATAGGCTTTGGATCCAATCAGAGGTGATCTCATGGAATTACTGAGCATTACACATTTGAAAGATGGCACAATGAAGCCTCAGTTCAGGAAGACCAATTGACCAGTTCCATGAAAATCATAGTGAGTTATTCCTTTAAAAAAATTTAGCAAAATTTTCAGCTTTTCTGAGGTAAAATTAATAAAACCGATAAACATGAAAGGTGTATAGTTCAGTGCTTCGCCTCACACAGCAAAATGATCACACAAAATAGTTGGCATTCTCATCTGCCCTGCTGCCATTTGTATTTCTTCCTCTTGCCTTTCCTTCCCTCTTCACATTTTCTTCCCATCCTTCCTCTTTCGCTCCTGCCTTCCCTCCCTCTTCTTGTGAGAATAATTAAGATCTTCTGTCCTAGCAGGCTTTAACACAATACGGTTTCTGTATTACCATACTGAACCTTAGCTGTCCAGACCTTACTTGTCATAGATAATTGAAAGTTTTGTTCTGTGATCAGATCTTGTTGGCCCCTCTTTCTAGTCCTTCTCGCTACCAGTCTGCTGTTTTTATGGCTGTATGTTTTGTTTTCTTCATTTTTTCAAATCACTCTTCTCTTTTTCTTCCTTTGCCTGATCTTGAACCATAGTTTTCCCCGTCTCGCTCTGCAGCCTGCTTCCAGTGTCTAATGAGTGACGCTTTTCCTCTAGTACTGTCAGACACCTCTGGCATCCACTTTTCTAACTCTGACCTCTCCTTACTTTGAAAGCCCTCTATCCATCATTTTCCTGGAAATCAGCAGATACCTGTGTGAACTGAGTAACAACTGGTGATGGGTGCTCTTACCCAAAGTAGCTCCCTAGACACCCTCCCGCCTCTGACACGGACTACTGAACCAGATCC